TGAGCTCAGGGGTTCGAGACCAGCCTGAGCAACATGACAAGACCTTGTCTCTACAATAAATCAAAAAAAAAAAAAAAAAAAAGCTGGGCAATGTGGCACATGCCTATAGTTCTACCTACTTGGAAGGCTGAGGTAGAAGGATCACCTGAGTCCAAGAGGTCAAGACTGTGGTGGCCGTGACCGTGCCACTGAACTTCAGACTGGGTGACAGACTCCAACCAAAAAATTTTTAAAAATTAAAAAACATAAACAAGCCGGGCTCGGTGGCTCAGCCTGTAATCCCGTGCCTTTGGGAGGCTGAGGTGAGTGGATTGCCTGAGCCCGCGGGTTCGAGACCCGCCTGGGCAGCAAGACCTCATCTCTACAATAAATCAAAAAATCAGTGGTAGCACATGCCTGTAATTCCGGCTACTTGGAATTAGCCGAGGCTGAGGCGGAAGGATCGCCGGAGCCCAGCAGGTCGAGATTGCGGTGGCTGGGAGCGGCCACTGCACTCCAGTCTGGGCGACAGAGTGAGACTCCGACTCAAAAAAACCCCACAAACATAAACGACTGGAAGGTGTGCACAGCTTTCTAGCAGGTGTGGGAGGTAGGAGAGAATCAGAGAAGTCCCCACAGAAGAGGTGGCACCGGAGATGGGCCATAAAGGATGACCAGAGTTTCTACTACAACTGGGGATAGGGAGACTTCAAGGGCTGGAGGCCAAGAAGGGAGCCAGGGAGGCCTGAACATCTTTGGTATGTCTAGGGCGTAGTCTGTGTGGGAAGAGGAGCAACCTAGAGGGGGAAAAGCGAGTGTCTGGTGGAACTATGGGTGCTTGGACACATTTAAGTCTTAACGACTGTCATGGATGCTATGGTGAGCAAAATAAGGACCACTGTGCGGGATTTTCAAATTATATTAATTTCAAATGAAATTATAAAAAAAGAAATGGGAAGAGGCACAACATGGCACAGTACATTGTCTTCCTAAAAGGGAGAGAAATAGGTCTGAAGGCCTTCTGGCTTCCTTGACTCCAAGACTTGACAGCTGAGGAAAAGGCTGCTACCCGGACCCACTTACTGACTTGTGGAGTAGGTTTAACTCCCAAGGCCCTCACCAATGCCAAAACCACCCATATTCTGGTGGCCTGAGAAACCCCACACCCCTCAGTAGGCCTCTGCCTATGTGCCAGGGCTGCCTGTTTCCAAGGTTGCCTGCTTGCGCGTCCCCTCCCTCCCTTCTTCTCTCGGAGTTGTGATTGATCAGCCTGTCCCTATCTCCCCCAAGACAGACTGAGGACCTTATCGTATAAGTGAACCCCAAGTAGGTCTCAGGGAGTCTGTCAGCACTTTTTTCTCTCTCGGGTTCCCTTACTTCAAGAATTAGAGATCGTTCCATCAGTTAACAGCTAGCCCAGAGGGCAATGAGGGGAAAGGAGAGTTGCCCAGGAGACAGAACTCACAAGCTGCCTCCAGGAAGGAAGAACAGGAGCAGTCCCAGTGAATGGGGTAATGGGAAGGAGGGGGCATAAGAGGCAAAGGGAACAGGCTATGGATGGGAATGGCCTAAAGACAGAGACAGCAAGAGTCATTTGGGCAGCTGTGGGTGGTTCATTGAGCCTGTATTCAGGCTGCAGAAGTAGGCGCCAGGGTGCATCAAGAGGAACCCTGCATGCACTGCCAGGGAGCTGGGACTTTACAAAGGCAGAGACGACTCACTGGGTGCTTGGTTGCCTGCATCTCACCTCAGGGCACTGGCTCAGCTGAGCGCTATATTCCTCCTGCATATCCCCAGACACTCCTCCCTGAGTCACCGCAAAATGCAAGTCACAATGGCACACCCCATTCTGGCTTGAACCCCAAGCACACCCTTATTCTGTCTCTTACATCACTGGACTTTCCTAGTATAAATATGCAAAGAACCCTGAGGTGTTAGGTCAAGATCAGAGTCCCACTCAGGACTTATGACCTTCTGGGCTACACCATATAGAAGGAATATATGCATAAATGTAATCAGGTGGAGAAAAAGTTAAAGCGTGAAAACATCCGGGTCAGTTGTGACTAATCAAAACTGGAAGGGTCAAGTTCCAAAGTCCAGAAGTTCTGTTTTAATTGAGCCACAAGGAATAGCAAAACTGAAGAATGCGAACCAATGAGCTAGGGGGTGCTGCTAAGCAAAGGTGCTGCTAAGAGAAGATCACATTGATCCATGAGGCAATTGCCTCCAAGGAGTGGAAATTATTAAGTAGGCTCACACACATCAACAAATACAGAAGGTCAGTGTAAAAATGGCATTGTTCTTCTCAACAGCAATAACAGAATCTAGGTGTTAAGAAGGCAATATCTTCAAAATCCTGAATAAGAATAATTTATAACATGGAATTATATACCTAGCCAACATTATCATTCAAAGGTAAAAAATAGAATGATAACCAGGCTTGGTGGCTCAGTCTGTAATCCTAATACTTTGAGGCCGAGGTGAGTGGATTGCCTGAGCCTACGGGTTCAAGACCAGCCTGGGCAGCTTGGTGAGATCTCGTCTCTACAATAAATCAAAAATTAACCGGGCATGGTAGCGCATGCCTGTAGTTCCAGCTACTTGGAGGGCTGGGGCGGAAGGATGCCTGAGCCCAGCAGGTCGAGGCTGCAGTAGCTGGGAGCAGTATGCCATTACACTCCAGCCTGGGAAGCTGAGTGAGACTCCAACTCAAAAAAAAAAAAGAAGAATTTGCTTCACCAAAATATGAGACCACACGAGAAATCGCATAAGAAAACCCTAGGATGCTGGAAAAAGGAAGTCTCAAAACAGGGAAGCTTCCCAAAAAGGAACTGGGACAAATGACTCTAAGAAGAAAAAATGTATATATCCACATCTACAGATACTGATGTGTAGATTTATATATAAACACATATTTACATATATATGATGGGTTATCTAATGGGTTTGATTGTGTGAAAATTGTATTGAAAGCATTTTATCATTCTTTAAGAAACTGGGAGTAAATTGTAATAGATACATAATAAAGTAAGCAAAGAGGACAATTATTAATTCCAAGGAAAACAAAAAACATACAAAAAAATAAACTGCATACTGTATGACTCAACAATGAATAACTAAAACACAGTCTCACTAGCATAAACATTACATAATGATTTAACCAGATTATAATATTGGAAGGGCAGTTTCCTTAATAGGAAATAGTCATACATTATTTGGAAATATTGATGTAAAAACCAGAAGAAATAGCTCAAATAGTTAAAAATGCTATAAGCCTTGTGATACTAACTTTAAAAAGATTATTGTGTACCTATATTATTTTAATGTAAATAAATTAACCTTTAAAAAATCTATGAGTGGCTGGGCTGGTGGCTCAGTCTGTAATCCCAGCACTTTGGAAGGCTGAGATGAGTGGATTGCCTGAGACCGTGGGTTCGAGACCAACCCGGGCAACTTGGTAAGACCTTGTTTCTACGATAAATAAAAAATTAGCCAGGCATGGTAGCACGCGCCTATAGTTCTGGCTACTTGAAAGGCTGAGGCAGAGGGATCACTGGAGTCCAGCAGGTTGACACTGGGGTGGCCATGGGTGTGCCACTGCACTCCTGCCTGGACAACAGAGTGACTCCCAACTCAAAAAAAAAAAAATCTATGAGTGAACTGTAGACTTACCACTTAATAACTGAGTGACCAGAAGCAACTCTTTATCCTCTCTGCGGCTTAGTTCCTTCACCTGCAAAATGCGCTAACACCTATCTTGCTGGGTTATTATGAGGATTATTATATGTAAAGTGACTATTACTGAGCCTGGAGATTAGTAGGTACTCAATTAATGGCAAGCATTTTCATTTGTAATAAGAAATGGAAAAGAGGCCTAAAAAGCATGTTTAAAAGGCGTAGGGACAGGCCTTCCATATTATTCCCACCTCTGGTCATTGGAACCCATCTCCTTATTTAATGGAGGCATGACTGCATATATGAAGTGTAGAGGAGAAAGACCTCATAACTTTAATATCAGAAACAAAAAACTAGTTAAATGGTTGTGAAATCAAGAAGTATACTCATCCTTGAAAAAAAAATATTTGCAGAAGCAAAAAGACAAAAGAATGTCCTTTAAAGGCAGGGATTCCCGACCTCAGGTCCATGGCCTGTTAGGAACCTGGCGCACAGCAGGAGATGAGGAAGGAAGCAAGGCTTCATCTGTATCTACAGCTGCCCTCCACTGCTAGCATTACTGCCTGAGCTACAGCTTCAGCTCAGCAGCAGCATTAGATTCTCACAGGAGCTCATGAGAGGGATCTAGGTTGCTCGCTCCTTATAAGAATCGAATGCCTGATGATCTGAGGTGATGGTGCTATATACTTCATTATCTATTACAATGTGATAATGGACATAAAGTGCACAATAAATGTAATGCACCTGAATCATCCCCAAACCACCCCCCTCCCATGCCAAAAAGGTTGGAGACTGCTGCTTTAGGGAATCTAGCTGCCTTGAAAAACAAAGACATCCTTGATTGATCTTCATGTGCATTTAAAATTAGAAGGTAACCTAGGATTTGATACCAGTGACATGAACAGATTTACAAAAAGAGCTGGTTTTCCTTGCTCCTCCTAGCGACGAGGGTTCTAGTCCCTCCAGCCCTTCAGGCCCTCCGATTTCCCGATTGCATATCAAAGGGTCAAACAAAAATACCTCCAAGCTTTGACCCGAGCTCGAAGGTTCTGCAAATTCCTGGCCACGGAAAAAGCCTTGGGACGAGGCGGGGGGCCTTTGAGGGTCGTGACCACACGACTCCGCCTTCTCACTAGGCTCCTAGCCCAAGACGCCCTTCCTTAGCCAGCCTCCATCTAAAAGTGTTTTGAGACCGCCCGACAGCGGGAACCCCAGGCGGCTCGGAGGCCACCCGGCGAGGGGTAACTACATCTCCCAGGGTGCCCCGGGGCGGCGGGCGCCCACCGGGATTGGCCTGGGGTCGGTGACGCTCAGTGTTTTGGCCCGGACGGTCACATGTTTCCTTTGTTGTGAGCAGCGGCAGAGGCTGGTGGCTGGAGGAGACGCCGGCGCTGCGAGAGCGCTGCGCCCTGGCCGCTGAGGGACCGCGGGGCCCGTGGCTGCTGGCTGCTCCCAGCCTTCGCCGAGAGGTACCCGGGGGTGACAGGTCCGGCACTGGCCGCCGGGCGAGAAGCCGGCCAGCGCCCGAGGCCTCGGGGGCGGAGGGGCGGCGG